ATCCTTTTGAGGATAAAGGTGTATTGCTTTGCTAGTGAAGGAGAAACCCAGGGGCCTTCTGTTCCAAAGGCTGTGATTCTGCCCATCACCTGGAACTGGGGGCTATCAAAGAGGTGATCCACAGTGTTCTGTGTTGGAGTTGTAATTTGGGAGAGAGTCACTAGTTAATTTGGGAGATAGTCACTTGGGAGATCTCCCAGTACCATCCTCAAAGTCTGGATTACTTTGTGCCTATGGTGGGGGTATGCTCAAGGACAGATAAATCTGCCTAACCACCACACTATGGTGTCTCGTGTGATGCGATTAATAACTAAGCAGGAAACTGAAGGGTAAAAAGGACAGGTGTGGGAAATCCAAGATGACTGCCAGGCTTCTGACTTGAGTCCCAGGGATGTGGACCGTGGTGGCTTTTCCTGCAATAAAGGACACAAGAGGAAGAGCAACCGAGGGCATGCTGGGTATATTGTACCTAGGAAAGGGACAATCAGGAGGATGTCACAAAAGGGGGCATCCCTGAGCCACTTCCTCCACCCAAGCTTCAAGAAAGGCCAAAGCCCTAGCCCAGCTGTAGCTTTTCTGTAAGATCCCCGAGCAGAGGTTGTAGTGGGCTGTTCATCATCTGAAGGGGCCTCAGAAGTTCTTCATTTCAACTCTCTGAATGACAGTGTCCATTTCCAAGTGGAACCATTTTAAATACCTGAGATCCTGTAAGAGACGCTTTCCCAACCTTAGGAGATAATAATGCTTAGCTTAGAGGGTTGTCTTTATGGATTTCTTCTATTCCAGAAGCAAGTCGACCTTCTTAGCTGTTTAAAAACCCACATCACAATGGGTGTTGCGCTTGGTGGTAGCTCTTGGAGTTAGAATGCTTGTATGAATGTTCCTTAGAACTATTTTCAGGGTTTGCCTCCCCAAAGACAGAAGTCTCACTGTGAGAGTGGCATTTGCTGCCCACTGCTGCCCACAGGTCATGGTCTGAACCTAAGAAATAGCAATTAAATAGCAAGGGTTCCACCCTGGGGCCCCGTCAAGCCCTGACACCCCTTGGCCCTCTGCTAACACAGCCAACAGTCCAGTACTGGTGCCTTTGTGGATCATCACTGTGGACAGAGACCCGAGGAAACACCTCTGTGAGCCTCTGACCCAAGCACTCACATATTTAATGTGGCTCCCTCAGCCTCTAGGTCCGTCAGATTCCACCGGCCCCTCATCTGTTGCCCCTCTAATGGTTCTCTCCCTGCCTCCCTTGTTTCAATCTGTCAAAATGCTCCATGAGGCTCTAGAAGCCACGTTTTATGAAAGATGTTTGAAGACTGATGGAATATTCAGGTCAGAGACAGGAGACACCAGGAAGAGCTATTGTCTTATCTGGAACAGAAGTCAGACTTGGGGTGGCCCAAGAAGGCTGAAGACC